GCTCAGCCTGCCTCCAGCCTCAGCCTCAGCCTGCTTCAGCCAGCCTCAGTCTGCCTCAGCCTCGGCTCAGCCTCGCCAGCCCTCAGCTCAGCCTGAAATGAGCCTCAGCCTCAGCCTCAGCTGCTCAGCACAGCTGCCTCGTATCAGCCTCAGCCTGCTCTGCTCAGCCTGCACGCCTCTCAGCCTCAGTCTGCCTTCAGCCTCGGCCTCAGCCTCAGCCTGCCCCAGCCTCACCATGCATCAGCCTCAGCCTCAGCCTCAGTCTCAGCCTGCCTCAGCCTCAGCCTGCCTCAGCCTCAGCCTCAGCCTGCCTCAGGCTCAGCCTCAGCCTCAGCCTGCTTCAGCCTCAGTCTCAGTCTGCCTTCAGCCTCGGCCTCATCCTCAGCGTGCCTCAGCCTCAGCCGACATCAGCCTCAGCCTCAGCCTCAGCCTGCCTCAGCATCAGCCTGCCTCAGCCTCAGCCTCAGCCTGCCTCAGCCTCAGCCTCAGCCTCAGCCTGCTTCAACCTCAGCCTCAGTCTGCCTTCAGCCCCGGCCTCAGCCTCAGCCGCATCAGCCTCAGCCTGCCTAAGCCTCAGCATCAGCCGCCTCAGCATTCAAATGTGGCCGGGAATGGAGTATGGAAACTCGATTCTGGGAAAAAGGAGCCACGAAGTGGCCTACAGTTGGCTCGGGCATCCAAAATGTGGCCCGGGAATGGAGTTCTGGGAAGTCGAAGAGCACGAAGTGGCCTACAGTTGGCTCCGGGCATTCAAAATGTGGCCCGGGAATGGAGTTCTGGGAAACTCGAAGACCACGAAGTGGCTTACAGTTGGCTCCGGGCATTCAGACTGTGGCCTGGGAATGGAGTTCTGGGACCTCGAAGACCACGAAGTGTGTAACTGTTGGCTAAAGAAAAATCCCCGGCACCCTCCCCCGGATCGCGCCCAGCCTCCCCTGGGGCGTCATGATGCTTTCTTTTGACCCTACTAGAAACCTTTCAGTCTTCGCTGTTAGGTAAAAACGAGAGTCCCAAGCAGCGCTACCTGCCGCCACGCTCGGAATCGCGTCAGGCCCCGAAGCCTCCGGAGGCGCCCAACGACACCCCAACAAATCATGTTCCCAGGAAGTCTTACGGCCACTGCCGCCGACGTTGAAGGAGGACGATCCAGAACTCCCAGAAATCTTCCAAACAGGCTTCCAAGAGGGCGCCGAGACAGCCCAGGGCCCCCCCCAGACGGCCCAAGAAAGCCCCAACACAGACGAAAAGGGCCGCAAGAGGCCCCCAAGAGGCCCCGAAACGAGGACATATCGTTCGAACACGCCCAAGATGGCCTCCAGACAGCCCACAAGGCTTCCAACACGGCCCAAAGGGACGCCAAAATCATCGATTATTTCAGACACCCAATGTCGCCCCAACAGGCCCCCACGAGGGCGCCGAGCGCCGAGACGGCCCAGGGACGCCCTGCCGCGGGCACGAGGCGGGGCCTGGGACGGAGCTCTCGCACCGGGGAGCCCGGGGGCCCTGCCGTGGCGCTGGGGGCCTTGTTAAAGTCGCCCGAAGACGGCCCTGGCGTTTCCAGACAACGAAAGAAAACTACCAATGACCGCCCGCGATCACCCCAGAATTGGTCCCTGACTGTCCAAGAGGCCTCCAAGACGCCCCAAGAGATCTCCAAGATGGCTCCCAAGGAGCCCCAGGAGGCACAACTAATTTGTTTTCCTTTGGCTCTTGATCGATTTGCGAGTTCTCGCCTTTTGAGTTTCCTGACGCTCCACGACGGCCCAAGAGGCTTTAATTTCCGCTCCAAGGCATCCCTAGATGCCTCGAAGACGGTCACAAGACAGCCCACGGGGGTTCCAAGACGGCGCCAGAGGCGCGCAAGGCGGCCCGAGAAGGACCCAAGACGGCCCCAAGATGGAGCCAAGTGGGTTGACACGAACCGAAAATCCGAGTCTTCCACCCCGAGAGGCTCTCAGGAGGCCCCGAGAAGCCCCTAACAGGCGCCAAGAGGCCCCAAGAAGCCCCCCAGGGGGCCGAAGAGTATCCAAGAGGCCTCCCACGAAGGCCCCAAGAGGCAAAAATCCATGTCTTGCCATAGGCTTTTGATTGATGTTCGAGTTTTCAGCCTTTGGGCGTCCTGACGCTCCAAGACGGCCCAAAAGGCATCCAAAACCAATCCAAGATAGCCCAAGAGGCCTCCAACAGGGCCCAAGACAGCCCGAGAGGGCACCAATACGGCCCCAAGGGGGGCCCAAGAGGGGTAAGACGCACCGAAAATCCGAGCCTTCACCCTGAGAGGCTCTCAGGAAGCCCCAGAGGCCCCCAAGTGGGACCCAAGAGGCCCTCAAGAAGCTCCCCAGAAGAGCGAAGAGGTTCCAAGAAGCATTGTTTTCCCATCGGCCTTTGATGGATTTTAGAGTTCCCAGCCTTTTGGCATCCCGACGCTCCAAGACGGCCCAAGTGGCCCCCACGGCCGCTCCAAGATAGCCGAAGAGGCCTCCAAGAGGGCCCCAAGACGGCCCACTAGGGACCCAAGACGGTGCCCGAGGCGCCCAAGACGGCCCGACAGGGTCCCAAGAGGGTCCCAAGAGAGCCCCAAGAAGGGGAACGCGAACCCAACAGCAGAGCTTTCCGCCCTCAGAGGCCCACAGGAGGCCCCGACAGTCCCCAAGTGGTCCGACGAGGCCCCCCAAAGCCCCCCACCAGGCCCCAAAAGGCCCCAAGATAGCCGAACAGTGCTCTCGATGCATCAAAATTGCTTCAAGGAGGCCCCTGGAGGCTTCCGGATTGCCCCAATGTGGCCTCAAGCCGGGCCTCCACGCAGCCAAGTCGGCCAATTGATTGCTTCAGAGACTGCACAACATCACTTTCCGACTGCCCGGAGAACCCCGACGATGCCCCCAAGGGACCCCAAGAAGCCCCAAGATGCCCCCCCGAGAAGCACCCAAGAGGTGCCTCCAACAGCCAATTGAGGAAGCACGGAGAACCCCCCAGAAGCCTTTCAGATGCCCCCATGAAGACCCAAGAGGTTCCCAAGAGGCCCTCAGGCGGCACGACTATGTCACGCGCCTGTGCTTGATTGCGCTGTCCAAGACGTTCTAGCGCGCCCCCGACCTGGGCTAGAACCTGAGCGCGCGCGAAGCGCGCGCGATGGTTCTAGCATATATGTATGTATATATACGTGTATATATATATACATACGTACGCGTATCACTATAGTTATATATGTTTATTTGCTATATATACGTATGTAAATGAACATACATGCATATGGATGTATATGTACACATAAAAACATGCAAATACGCACAAACGTTCGTACATGTAGCTGTGTATGTCTAAATGTGACCAGGCATGTGTAAATACGGTGTTCGATCTGCGTATGCGCATACACCCATGTATATACGTACCTATACGACCACCCTTCGGGTGATAAGGAGGTTCGGGGGGGGGGAGCAACCAACGTCTCACTCGATCGGTCTCACGATCGATCTCACTATCGATCTCGGTATCGGTCTCGCTCGATCGATCTCCCTCGGTCGATCTCACAATCGATCTCACAATCGATCTCACTCGATCTCACTCGATCTATCTTACACTCGATCTCACTCGATCATCATCATCATCATCATCATCGTCCTCATCATCATCATCAGCATCAGCATCATCATCATCATCAGCATCATCATCATCATCATCATCAGCATCAACATCAGCATCAGCATCATCAGCAGCATCATCAGAATCACCATCATCATCATCATCATCATCATCATCATCATCATCATCATCATCATTATCATCATCATCATCATCATCATCATCATCATCATCTCATCATCAACTTCATCATCATCATCATCATCATCATCATCATCATCATCATCATCATCATCATCGCGGGACACCGCGGGACACCGGCGGGACACCGCGGGGCACCGCGGGACACCGCGGGACACCGCGGGACACCGCGGGACACCGCGGGCCGCCCGGAAGGGAGACATTTGGTCCGGCCGCGCCTCAGCCACACGGGACACCAGCGGGACACCGGCGGGACACCGCGGGCCACCGGCCGCCCGGAAGGAGACATTTGGTCCGGCCGCGCCTCAGCCACAGGAGACTTTCTTCTCGCCCGCCCACGCAGCTTCGCCTCGCCCGCACGGCACGGCACGCACGAACACGAAACCGAAATCGATTTCCCGGTAGGGGGGCTCTCCGTTCCATTTCGATCTCACCCCCTCACCTCCGATGCATGTATAGATGGCATGATAGATGTACACAGGTGTGTATGCATGTATGCAAGCACGCGCACGTATATACATGTAGTGGCATATGTAGGCGTGCTTGTGGCAATTGTGGTAGGCATATCGTTGGGCAGATTGGCACATGACGTTCTACATATGCATACATATATATATACACATATACACAGACATGTCGATACATATATAAATGAATATGTGTGTACACATATACACATGCTTGTATGCATATATGCATATGTATGTGTCTGTTCACAGAGACAGGGGAGGGAGAACGGGAAGCGGGGAGAGGGAGGGGGCAAGCTTGGCGCGCCCAAACCACACATGACATTCAACCCCTCGAACCCAGAATTGACGTAATGAGCTGGAGGATGACCAGGAGGAAACGGAGAAGGATGAGGAAGGAAAATAATGAGGACGTACAGCAGCAGCAGCAGGAACGGCAGTGGAAGGGGCGGGAGGAGCAGGAATACAGGAGAAAGGAAAAAAGGAATGGAGGGGGGCGACAACGGAGCAAAACCCCGACCCTATAATGATGCCCACGTTGCAGCGGGAACATTATTTTGGAAGGGGGAACACATCAGACAAACCAATTCGGACGCACTGCTCTCAGTCCGTCTTTGGGCGAGAGAGGAGAGTAGCATTCATATTGAATAACCGTGGAGGTTGGAGGTACGGGGGGGGAGGGAGCGGGGGAAGGGGGAGATCTGCCATCCACGACCCTCGACAGCACGGAAAACCCCCCCTTCAGCAGAGGATCTGGGACTCGTCGTCCAGGCGATGCATCCGGGTGCTGCAGGGCCCCGGGCTTTAGCGCTTTTCTTGGCTGGGTCCGAAGGGGCGGGCAGGGCAAAGCCTCCTCTTGTCTTCCCCTCCGCCCCCTCCCTCCCTCGTTCCTCCTTCACCCATCCCCCCTGACTCCTCCTTTTAATATCCCTCCTCCTTGCCCCCCCCCCGTTTTTCTTTTCCCTGCTCCCTCACGGTTCCTCCTTCTCTATCTGCCTCCTCTTGCCTCCTCCCTACTTCATCCTCCTCCGTCCTGCTTCAGGGTCCCCCTGCCATCCTTTCGCCCAAGCCATCAATCGTGCCATTGCTTCTCAAGCGACACGTGGTCTAGACCGCCACCTGCAGCAGCAATATGCCGATGCAGTTGTGGTCTTCGTTGGGCTTGGCAAGGATGGCGAGGATTATGGTAAGGAGCGGGCCATGCCCGGTTTACTAAGTCTCTGGGCAAGGTCGCCCTGCTGGTCTCGATGAGGTAGAACAAATTGGGTTGCGTTAGACTTCACCGCACTGCGCCTTTTTCGCGCAACCACCGTATCCGCCATGATGGTTGCGAGGGGTTCCATGTGCGTACCGTGCACCACCTTCTCCATTTAGAGATCCGCTTGTGCCTCATTATGCCAGGTAGTTGTCATGGCGTGGGCCGGCGCCGCACACGCTTCCACATTTGCTCTCGGCGGTTTGCGTTATCAGGAGTATGTTTTACCGAAGGCCCTATCACCCTTTACCGAGCGGTCGACCGCTCCTGGCTCTACCCGTCACGCGCGCCTCACTGTCTCCACCCAGGAGCTGCAGCGCCTGTCCGCCGTGGCGGGTGCGCGACCCACCGCGCAGCTGCCCCACGCTCGCGTGAGGTCTCAGGAGCGCTGGCAGCGCCGCGCAGTCCACGCGGTCCAGATCGCGCTGTGGGCCGAGGCAAGAGGCATCCTGCTCCATAGTTACCCTTGCCAGCATGCGTTCTTGGCCTGCCGCGCATTCGCTTGCGGCTTCCAAACGCAGGTGCCCCGCTGAACGGGGCCAGCGCCACTTAACGCCAGCGTTGCCCGCCGCGTCTGCGAGGTGCTCGCCATAGTCCACCTGTCGGCGACAGCATCGGTGTAGTGCGCGCGACCCGGCGTGGCCTTCAAGAAAACCGTCTCGAAGTGGAAGCCCGCCGCTTTGCCGACACTGGCAATCGTGTCACCTTTGTGGCACGCGGTCGGTATCAAGGATCGCTTAATCATCTCATCTTCCGACCGCCAGCCAGCAAATGGAAGAGCAACAAAGAGCCCACCGAAACGCAGCACTTGGAGCAGCACTTGCAACCACCCCGCCGAAGTGCAAGAGTGCGTTCAGGGCAGCGTTGTACCTTTTCCCGCCTTTGACGGGAACACGCGGGCAAAGCAGTTTTCCGCCGCCACCACCTCGCTAGATTGAGAAACAGATTCGAGTCCATCGGCCTTGATCCTCGCGTTTCGCGGGGAGCGAAGCCACGAGCAGGACTTGTTTGGGAACTCTATGTTGGGTTGCTGCTGCTTCTGCTGCTGCTGCTGCTGTTGTTGCTGGGCCGGCCAGCAGAGCCGGCCAGCGGGGCCAGCGCGGGCGGGCACGAGGCCCCGCGTGGTTCGCGGCCATGCCGCACGTCTACGGGCGGGGTCCGCTGAGGCCAGGGCCATGAGTGGCCGCGACGACATCTTCGCCGTTTTGCTCTGCGCCCGGACGTCCTGCTCGCGGATGTCCGCGAGCCACGCAACCGATTCACCGAAGGGTTAGACCGCGACTTCATTATCCACCAGGTGGCCCCTCCCTATGGGCTCGGGGAAATGCGCGTGAAATCCGGGAATTGCGCAGAGGGGCAGCTTGGCTTCTTCGGCGGAGCAGCTGCCCAAGGCGGCCCGCTAGGACTTCCCCCATGGGGGTCGGCGCCATTGACGGGGCCCACACCTTCTACATCGATTCAGAGTACCAGGGCCACGTGAAGTTCATTTTCTTCGCAGGCGAGCCCGAAACCAACGACATCACAGGCGAGCCGCTCGCGTTTCTAAAAGAATTGGAGGTGCGGCTGCGCGAAACGCCAGGACTGCAGCACGTCTTGTTAGTCGACCGGCGCTTCCGCAAGAAGGCCCACGAGTTGTCGGTGACAAAAAGGACGACGTTCGCGTCTCACTCCGTTGCGACATGGGAGGTCTACACAGCCGCGGGCGCGTTTGGAGCGGGTGCCGCGCCGAGGCCAAAGAGGCATTGAAGCCCGCCAGAGGCCCCAGGGCGACCCCGCAGCGCGGCCAGAAGCGCGGAAGAGAAGCGGGCGAGGCGCAGCCCGCGGGCGCCGCGAGGCCGGCAGGCGGACCGTCGAAAAGCAGCCTTAAACACGACAGCGACAGCGGCAGCAGCAGAAGGCCGAGCAGGCCGCAGCATCAAGATCGCAGGCGGCGGCCAGACCCGTCGGCCAGCCGCGGCTGACACCGGGAGGGTGCCAGAGAACAAATGGCGCGCGCTGGAGCGCGATGGCCCAGCAATGGCGGCGAAGGCCGGCGGCTGCAAAGATGGCGGCGCGCGCGCAAGTTCACGCGCTCGTGCTGGTCGCGCAGCGCCGGCCACAAGTGGCGCGGCAGCATGGCGCGCGCTGAAGCGGGACCCGGCCAGAGCGCGGCGTAGCGCGTGCAGCGGGCGACGCTGGCGGAGCGGCGGGTCTGGCCAGTTCCAGGCCCGTTGCCGATTGCAGCCCCCTGCCGCGCGAGTCGCGCACGCCGCGGCGCGCGCGGCCCGAGGCCCCCCCTGCCTAGGAGGAGTCGGCTTGCAGGTGGGGGCGGGCGCGGGGTGGGCGCCAACGACCACGCCGATTCCATCGTGGCCCGCTGCCCCTTCCCGGGACTCTCAGGAATCCTCCGGGCCCAGTCTGCCTCGCAGTCGGCGCCGGCGTCGCGTCGCCCGCGAGCGCCAGCCGGCGGGCGGGCCGACCCTGTTGCGCATGTTTGGCGCGAGAGACCCGCGCGGGCCTCGCGCTGCGCCCGCGCCCCAGGGCGACGGCCCAGGCCCTTGCAGCCTCCCGCGCTGACGCGATGGCCTCGCGCGCGGCGCAGGAGCGGGCGCCGCCGACCGTTCGGTTCGGTTCCGTGCACTTCTCATGCGAGAACGCAAAGCCCCCCATGCTGCTCGCGCGCTATGCGCGCTGGGCAATGCGATGCAGTTGCGACGGCCGCGCGTTCAATTGGAAACCGCAACGCAAGTTTCCATTCCCGCGCGCGGGGCGGGGTATGAACTTACATATGCGCCGACGGTCGAGAACTCGCGAGCGCGCCTGCGCCTGCCATGTTGGGCGTGCGCACTGGGCCCGGAAATCTGTGGCTCGGCCGCCCGATGCGCCCCAAAAATCGCTCCGCCTCCCCCCCCGCCCCCTCACCCTCACAACTCTCCCGCGCTCCTGGAAAAACCATGCCGCCGAGGCGGGAGTTCGGGCCGCGGCCCGATGGTCCCCGGGGCACAGGGGAATCAAAGGAATCAGTGCGGAATCAATACAGAATCAAAACAGAATCGGCACAGCTGCGACCCCTGATTCTAGCGGAATCAACAGAATCAGCACGGAATCAACACGGAATCAAAGGATGAATCGGCGATGGAACCAGAATCGGCCAGAACGGGGAAGTAGGCCAGAATCGGTGCCAGAACCCATGGAGAGAGGACTTTTTCCCGCGAGTTCATTGTGGCGGGTCCGCGGCGCGGGCGCGCCGCGCGACTTCGCTGGTTCAGCGAGGCGCGCAGTTGGCGTTCAGAGTGAACAGGTTGTTTTCAGGGCGATGTCCTGGCGGCGCGCTGGCGCATTGCGCATTTGCGTACTCCTGGCGGGCTGTTTGAGGGCGACCTGGCAGCGTCGGCCGAATGGCCCGCGAATACCGCGCGGCCGATCGCGCGCCCCATGTGGCCACGTCGACCGCCGTGTGCCGCGACGGCCGCGCGCCCCGGGCCGTGCCGTTGTTTGGACGGCGCAGCGCCCGTCCTCCAAAAGTCGTCACATGCATATCGCGCGCGTCGAGCCAGCTGCAATCGCTCCCAGAAGCAGCCTTGACAGGCGCCCCATGCCCGTTGTCGCCCGGTTCCGATCCAAATCATAGTTTCTTAGGATGCGCTTGCGCGAATGTGAGCGCGCGGGCAAGTAACGCGTGCGCGCGCTTGGCGCAGCCTGGGAAATCCAACGTGGAGCCCCCCGGGGGCGCTGGGCGCCGGCGACGCCTCCGCCCGCCTCCCGCGCGCCCGGCCCCCCCCGCAAGCCGACTCCTCTTACCCCTGCCGCCGCCGGCAGGCGCGCGGCATCATGTCGCGGAGGTCTTCGGCGGCCAGGCGAACGCGACCCATGTATTAATGCATGTAGGGCGCCGCGCCCCCCCCCCGTCGACCGGGGCCTGCGCTGAGCCACGAGGCGACCGACGTCTCCGATGTCACAGTTTTGGAGAAGATAGAGAAGTTGGAGAAGAGAAGTTGCACTTGGCGTGCCCGCAAAGCCTGTCGCGGAAGATCCCAGCACTCATGTGGCGGGGCCTTGCCGGGGCGCGCGGACGCGCGAATGCGCGCGCGGCCGAGGGCCGCGCGCGCCTGGGCAGGGGCTGCCGGTCTGCGCGGGCACGCGGCATACGCGGGCACACGCGGGCGAAACCGTTCAAGGTGAAGCAGCCCCCCTCAAGGGGGGCGCGCGTCGAGGAGCGCGAGCAGGTCGCGCGCCAACAGCTGGGCCCGCTTCGGCAGATGCCCAGTCTACGGAGCGAGATTCCGGTCTGCAACCGCGACGCAGACGCCCCGCGCCACGCAGACGCGCTGTAGGACTTGTCGGGGCAGGGAAATCGCGCAGTTCCAGGCTGTCCTCGGCCTTGAGGCGGCAGGCAGGAAACGCGCAGTTCGCAGGCCAGACAGCGGAAGGCGGGAAGTCGGGCGCGGCGCGGTCGGCGCGGGGCGCCAGCAGCACCCCGGCCTGACGCTTCCGATATCCCCGGCGCGCTCGGAGCCGGGCGAGGCGATCCGCGGGGCCCCGGCGGCGCGGCGCCCTTTT